CCATTATGGAAATCTTTTCGATCATGTTAAGTGGCTCAATCCGCCCTCTCGGAGGTTCAACTTCTAACATCATGACTGATGGGGCTCTTCTAACTGATATACTGTCGACATAACATTTCCTGGATGCTTGCTGATCTCCCTGCACACGCCCGACTTCCCTGTTGGTTAGGAATTTCAAGACTTGGTGATAGGTCGAGGGGATGGCCCCAGCTGCGTTGAGTAACGGCCGACCGTAGATTGCATTATAGGCCATGGGGGTCTTAATGACCAAAAAGCTTGCCACAATTACCACAGTGGTCGGATATGTGCCTAGCGTGACCGGGAGCTCCACAGTACCTTCTGGAATCACCATGGCTCCTCCAAAGCTTTGCAAGGGGGTGTTCACGATTTTTAACTTGTCAGGTGGGACCTTCAGGCCTAAAAAAGCGTCCCAGGTGAGTACATTTGCGGCACTTCCCCCGTCGACCAATACTCTTTTGACATCAAAATCAACTATGTGGCCTACTATTACTAGCACATCATCATAGGGGTGTGCCACGCTTACCAAGTCTTTCTCGCCAAAAGTGATGCTTTGGCTGAACCTTGCCTTCTTTTGGATGGAGCAAATCCTGAGAGAGCGCGCGTAGCTTTTCCTTGCTGAGTTTGAATCTCCCCCTCCTGCTAACCCTCATGTAATCATGTTTATCACTCCGGCCCTAGGTGGAGGACGACCCTCCATCTTTTGCTTCCCCCGGTTGTCCTACACATACTTGTCAGGAGACCCTGCCTTAGGAGGCGCTCGATCTCCTCCTTTAGTTGCAGGCACTCTTCAGTATCATGCCCGTGATCCTTGTGAAAATGACAATATCTGCCCTGGTTTCTTTTGCTCGCTAGCGTTACCATGGGTCTCAACCATTCTAACTCTTTCATATCTCGTATTTCCATCAATAGTTTGGCACGAGGGGTGTTCAAAGGGGTGAACGCCCTGGACTCCTCTCGTTTGTGCCTGGCTGGCCGATCTTGGGCGGCTTCTTTCACTATCTTCTCACTCCTTGGCCTATTTTTGTTAGCAGGTCTTAACTCGTCCCCCGCCTTGCGCTTGTGACTTTCTACTTCCCATCCCTCTCTGAGGTTCTTTGTGAACTTCTCCGCCTCCTCAGCATCAACATACTTGTCTCCCTTTTTCAATAGGTCGTGCATTGATTTTGGGGGGTTCTTAGAAAGTGACATCTTAAAAGCCCGATTTCGAGTTCCATTCATCAATGCAGTCACCACTGTCGACATCTGAAGATCCTCTATTCCAAGGGTCGCACGGTTAAATCTGGCCAGATATTCCTGCAAAGACTCATCTTTCTCCTAGACCACCTGCATCAGTCCAATGGCTGTCCTTTTATTCTTTTGCTACTCAGGAAGTAGGCTACAAAGCTCCTAGAAAGTTCATCAAATGTTCGGATAGACCGAGGGAAAAAGTGTTGCCACCCAGTCTCTAGCTTCCCTCCTGAGAGTTGGGGGAAAAGACCGGCACATTATCGCATTGGGTGCTGCATAGAGTCTCATCAGATCAACAAAGGTCCGCAGATGGTCAAGTGGATTTGTGACCCCGTCATAAGCCTCTATAATAGGCTGCTTGAAGCCTTTAGGTAAAGGGACCGCCATGATCTCGGGAGCGAACGGGTCCTCTTCTAGGACCATCTGTCTGCGCTTGTCTTTTCTTTTAAAAATCGCGTCATCAATTTTCTTCGTCATGATCTCTTCCATTCTCCACTCCAGATCTGTCAGGGGTGGGACGGACTATAAAACTGTCATCCCTGGAGCCCCCGAGCCTACGGTCACCGGTTGGATTGCAGGTGGTGTTCTATGTGCACCTCCTGGAGTGGAGGCGAGGCCTCTATCGAATGCGGCGGGAGGGCAGCTCTCTGCATTTGATTCTGCAAGAGGGTCATCATGGCCACTAACTGGGTCTCTAGGGCGCTGAACTGGCTTTACGTCACATACTGCGGCAGTGGCGGCAGCGGCAAATTGGGGCCTCTGTTGTTGTTGCTCTTAAGCGTGTGTCACTTCTTGTTCGTCTTCTCGACATGACCTTTGTGTTCAGTGGAAGAATTTTTCATAGACGGCGCCAATGAAATGGTTGTGGAACAATACCCTTCTACCTGCATGCTGGCGTTCGGAGTTCCAACTACTCCGTCAAGTGTGTGTGACCTGAAAAACGAAGGCGGGGCTTCCTCCCCTGTTTTACCTCCGACGTGAGAATTAGTTTATAGACTTGGAAAAAATGCAATTGGAATTCAGATGGCTAAAAAGAGATAGAGAGATCCCTTTACCTGTGTCACATCTGAGGATGTTTATAGATATTGGGAGCTAGATAACTGCTGGGAGGTTGTGATGCCACGTGTCCCACGTTGGCATTCCCACTACCCCGACGTTTTGAGTGGGGGTCTTTAACTTCCCGCATGGAGGTTGTACCCGTATTAATCACCATGGAACCTAGTCAATTCACTAGAAGTTTTTTGGCTAAGTGTTTGGATAGGCAATTCCATGCCCATTGAAGAATTCGCGTAGAGATAGAGCGACCTCTAGGGGTAATGGTAGAGCGCCCCCTTGGGGTTGTGGTAAAGTGCCCCTTAAGGGTTGTGGTAGAACACCCCTGGGAGGGTCGACGGCCTCGCATAGTGGTAGAGTGCCCCCTTGGGGTAGTGGTAGAGCGCCCCTAGGGGTCGATGGCCGTGCATGGTGGTCGAGCACCACTTGGGGATAGTGGTAGAGCACCCCTTAAGGGTCGATGGCCTTGCATCGAAGTGCAGTGATCCATCTTGTTTGTCGTCGAGGGTGGCTTTCTCTACCAACCTATATCACTATTATCCTTACACTTGGGACCCCAAAGCGCTTACTTGTGTTTTTTTAGGATACAATGACAATTATAAAGGCTATAGATGTTATTATCCATCAAGTCACAAATTCTTCATTTCTCATCACGTTGCCTTCTTAGAGAACTCGTTTCCATACAAATCAAGAGACCAACAACACTTGATTGCATCTTGATTCAACATTACTGAATTCAATTATTGGATTGATAAAACTAATGCCACTACTGAACTACCTTTGTCATTGCAAAATTTGACCACACCAACACTTGATGATCAATCTTAGTCATCCGTTGTTTCAATAGATGCAGAAATTAACAATCATGTAGCATCACAAACTCCTGTACTTGCAGAAAATCTTTCAAATCATGAAGCCGAAACTGCAGAGATTCTTTTGATCGTGAAGGAAATGCACCTGATGTAAATTTCACTAATGAATCCTTAGATTCTTCAGATTGTCAACAAGACGTGTTAAACAAATTAAATAACCATCTTTGTACGGCTGCTAAATATCTCTGCATGTGCACACTTTATTCTATAATCTTGGCCTCAAAATGATTTTGTTTTCTTGGACTCCAGTTTCTGATGAATCGCTTTCGAAGTTTGATGCCTCTAAACTCCACTTGCTCCTGCAGTCCACGTTTGGCATAGCTGAATTCTGAAGCACATGTCAATCGATAGTCAATAAATTTGATCAAGCCATGGTCTCTCTCTGTCTATCACTCTGTTTGTATAAAACAAATATACAAATAAATAAATATATGCATGTTTTTTGATAGATACATGGACAGAAACATGCACACATTTATGTATGGAATGCTTAATACAACTAAACTGTACAATGTATATCTTAACTTTTTTCTTCATTTATAGTATCTAGTTCAATCCATCTTACTGAGAAAATTGTGTTGGAACTAGGTTTTAGAATTGAATTTTGGTTAAATATAAAATTGAAAAGTGACTTTGTGTCGATTTCGGCCAAATATTCGGACTTAATCCGATAGTCAAATTACGAAAGTAAATAGACTAACTTATTCTACTCATCGAATATATAGTCGTAGTATATTTAGAATCAAAAAACTAATTTTGGATGAATGAGAAATTGTGGTCCAGATTTTGAAGGAAGAATCGGAATTCAGCATGTGAGGCCACCGCTCAAGCAGTGGACCAGCACCTGGCAAGCAATAGATCACCGCATTGCGCCACTCACCGATGAGGGCAAATTCATCTTAAAAAAAGAGTGTTTCACTTGCCTCGACCAATCTTACACTTGCATCTCCTTTCTTGTCTCTAATTTATTTATATTGTATTGGATTTCAGAAATACTTTCTTTTTGTTATATGAAAGGATCTAAATTGAAGAACGAGATGTCTTTCATCGACATATGGAAAGACACGAATTTGGCTACTTGTATAGACTCGATTTCGCCCCCATTTGTCCCACATTCTCTTTCATTTTTTCTCTATCTTATTTTCAACCACACAATCTTCCATAAAACAATATACACATAAATCAAAACTTTTCATTCTTTTTCAATCACTCGTTCTTAAAAAAAATACTATTCCAAACATTAAAATTTGGAGAGAATAGGGGCCAAACAGGGGCTTCGTGAGTCGATTCTATATTCAATTTCATGTTTGTATAGAAAATATGTTTAAGGGTGTAAAATCCCCAACAAATTGCAAACATATCATGTAGTTTCTGAGAAATATTTACATATACAAGGTAGGATAATAAGATTTGCTCTAACGTAAATGTAAGAATGTTATTACACGGAAGTAGGAATATTATACCTGTTGATCAGGGTAAACTTGATTGGAATCATGAAAGGCTTCTGGAGAAGTTATTGGATTCATGCTCATGACAGATCCTTGGTGCATACTAGAATACTATGAATCAAATAGTCCATGTCTGGAAAATTAAAGAAACCATAGATGAAAATCTAGGGTTTGATGAAGGATTTGAGCAAGTTCTGACATTAATTGGACCAGATTCAAGATATAGCTAGTGAGAATTCTTGATAGGTGCCATAGTTGTAGTTTCATGTCCAACATAATTGGAAATTTCCTTTTCAAAATGGCTTTTTGACACTTCACTGGCTTTCTCCTGGTGAAGTATAAAACTGTTTTTCATTAGACGAGGCATTGAACCGAATCTTCTGGGCTTGTTTTGGCCTGAAGGATCTGTGTCTAAAGAAGCCGCAGGAACATTGTTTTGTTGATATTTTTGCCCTTCAGGAGGTTGCCAATTGTTTTTCCTGCATTTCTGTGTAAAAATATAAAATACCAAAAAATAAAAAAATTAGAAACTACAAGATAATTAAACTAGTAAACGAAAATCGAAAAACAAGTAATGAATATTGGCACGATCCTTTCTTCATTAATCACGTCCATCATTCCAAGCATGTATAGAAAACAAACCTGAAGATGGCTTGCTACTTGCACTCTTGTTAGGCCAGGCACTTTCATCAGCTTCAAGATCTCTTTAGGGAAACACACTATATTTTCAAACACAAAACATGTACATATATCTTGCGTTACAATAGGGTATATATTTTATGGGCCAACACTCAAAACACAACATACATAGAGATATATTAGTATAAAATTAGAAGGATGGAATGCAACAATTAAGGGAACAAAACATACTTCCTTCACCAAGCTGCCCCACAGCGTCCATAAATTTTCCATGAAGTTCTTGAGTCCACTCAGTATGTACTGATTTTCTCTTAACCTTATTGTTGATTATTTGATATTCTGGTTCTGATATTTTCTTCTTTCCTTCAAGAATTTTGTCCTTCATGTTGTCACTTCCAATGATGTTGTGTTCGTCCTCAATTTCTCCTCTAAATTCAATCCCTCTCATGTTATTGTTTTCTTCAATCGTTCCCATTCGCCTTTCTTTTTCTTTATAAATTCCCACTTTCTCTCTCGCCACATGCTGCCAAAGGCACTTTAACATGTCCAATGTAACTGGTTTCTCGATACAGAGGAGAGCTCCAATTTCTAGAGCTTCCATTGCAAGGAATGCATTGTCTTCAACAGACATCACTGAATTAAAATCAATGTTTGCAAGGCAAATAAGTTTTTTTTTTTTTTTTTTTTTTTTTTTTTTTTTTTTTTTTTTCTTTTTTCCTTTTTTTTTTTTTTTTTTTTTTTAAGGAGAAAGGGAAATAAATAGGCAAGAATATTAATAAGGATCGAGAAATATAATATTTACGAATCACTGGTATGTCCATGTTGACTGCTTGTTGTAGAAGCTTATATCCATGCATGTCGGGTGAGTTTATATTTGCCATCACAAGATTGAAATTTGATTTTCCACTTGAAAGCATTGATAAAGCAGTCGAAGCAAGTTCAACATATGTAACTGTGACATTCATTTAGGGCAACTAATTAGTAAAAAGGAAAATAATGACAGTACAAAAACTTACAACATATTAGTAAAGGCCAGTTACTTGGCTAAAGGAAATAAAATGAAAACAGAAGGCCTTTTAATTATGAATAAGGAAAAGTTCAGTGAAAAAAAAAATGAATTATTTTGCATGAAGACTGCAACGAAAAAAAAAATAAAAAATAAATAAAATAAAATAAAATATATGGGTAACCTTAAATAAACTAGCAACCTTATTAATATAAGTTGTATCAGGTTTTGATGTACAACAATAAATAAATAAATTTACGGCTATATTACCATAATAGCGCGGGTAACTTGCATTCAATAAATATTCAAACATCGTCATAACAATATATTGCATAGAAATTTAATATATTATCTAAGCATGGTTGGATGCTGATCCACTGTATCAATGGTGTTGGAGGAAAGATGGGTTTATTAACTTGGATTGGCTAAGGTTTTTAAGAGGACAACACTAATAGGAAGAAGGAAGTGAAAAAGGAAACTTGTATTTCTTAAATTCAAGACTTTACACACTTTTTTGGCTTATTACAAAATGGAGGGCACTACCCCTTTATGTAGTGTTTACAAGAAGATTCTAGTCCACACATTTTCTAGAGACACCTAGACCACATATCAAGATATTTTCCTAGAATTCTCTAGATATTCTTTATGAAACTACATATCTTACTTAGATATTTATATAGATTTTTCTAGTAGATATTTATATAGATTTTTCTAGACAATGCTTCTAGAAATACTATGCATGTTGGGCCTTTTAATTGATTTGGGCCTATAAGCAAAATCCTTAAGCCCATATTATTTAGTCCAAAAATCAAGTTTACTACTCAACAAATGGAACGAGTGCAATGACAGTTGAGAGCAAAAGAGAGAGAAATCAAGTCTCCATATGAACATGAAATATTCAACAAACTATTTTTCGAATTATGTATACAAAACAACTATAAATGAAATTCCAAATAAAGAAAAAAGAAATTTTAACAACAAAAGTATAGTCTCTTGTATGATTTATTGCTAAAACTCTGGTCACTGTAAATTATTCAAACCATATTTATGCAATGAAATTGAATCGAAACAGAAAATTAAGAAGACTTTGAAAATTTTTCTTGATCTTTTATTTTATGGACGATAAGTTAATTTTTTATTTGTCTACCTTTATATGAGCATAGCTCTAACATTTCTGCTGTAGAAATCAGAAAATCAGAATCATGATCCACTAGCAGCACATGAACCTCATCCATCACTTTATTGTAAGAAATCAATGAAGTGTTTCCACCATCATTCGGCCAAAACCCTCCTATTTCCCACATGATGTCTGAATTCACTATTATATTAATATGTTGGAAATCACAACCAAGAGAATCGAATGAAGAGATGATTGTTAAAAGAGAAGAGTATTGAAGAGTGTGACATAAGAGTAGGGCAAGTAAGAATGCAAAGACAGCTATATTATAGGTGTTTTGGTACCAAAGTGTACTACTTTTTGACAAAAAAATAATAATAATAATAATAAATTTCACAGCTGGTAAATAATTAAATTTCTTTCGTAACGCTTAAAGAAAACCTTGTGGATAATAGATTTGTATGTGAATGAATGGTTGAACTCCAAATGTTATATGGTCCCAATTCCTGTTGACCATTGCAAGACCACATATTTAAGAATAATTAGGAAGTTAAATGCTTTTCTTAATGCGTTGAGTACATTTTTCTTATTTTGGCATGACAAACATATTACATCACCATAGGCTTTTATTCATACAAGGAATGAACTCTTCAAAAGTCAAATTCATATGCATAAGAGTATAAATACATATTTTTCGAGTGATACTTTCGAGAAAATGTGAAATTGTCCGGTAGAACCTTATTAATTATTGTCAACTCACTATATACTCTTTCTTTGCTTCTCTTTCCCATTTATAATACATTACATTATCATTATTTGTAATTTCATTTTAACAAGTAATACAACTGGAGGTATTTTAATCTTGCCTTGCAATAGATTTTTATTCAAACTGCATTGATGATAATTAATATTTACCAATCTCGGTTTTGACCCAATCACATAATTAAAATTGGGTTACAACCATCCATGTCTTATTTCTTTTGTTACTTCTAATTTAGTGAACAAGATTGTTGTCATTAAGAATTTTGCATAGAAATTTATTTATATTTCATTAGTTTTGTTTTTACTTATCATATCTGGTCATGGATAAGAAAATTAAATGGTTACCAAACTTGTGTATCAATTATTAGGTGATATAAAGCATGTTTTGCCATCAAGTTGTAATTTTATAAGTACCAGGGCCCACAAAAATGTGTGGACTAAGAAAACGCCAATTGTGGAACATCTGTTAATATTTGGAGTTCCATTTTAAAAAATCAATCTTGTTAAGAGGAGCAATCCAAGACTTTATAAGTTCGTCTATGTTTTCATCTCTATTCGATGTGGGATTTTATCCCTTAACATACCCCTTCAAGATGGTGGCTCGTTTTGAGCAGATCAATCTTGAAATCCTTATGCTCATTTTTTAAGTCTTAATCGGATCAAATTATTTGTTGGAGTTTAATGGGTTCTAATACCATATTGAAACTTAGGGTTCTATCTTAAAAGGTTAACTTTATTAAAAGGAGTAGCCCAAGACCTTAAAAATTATTCTATATTTTCATCTTTATTCGATGTGGGATTTTATCCCTTAACATATACTATGAAAACTGCAAACACGGAGAACCTCAAATTCAGTAAGGAATATCTCAAATAGAGAAAAACAAATAACTTAATTCAAGGATGGATAATTGGCACATTGACACAAGAAGCACTGATCAGGTTGTAGGTCTTCAAACTGGCCAACAATTTTGAAAATGACTCCAAGAAGCATATGCTCTCCCAAGAGAGGGAATTTAACTTAATTCGAGAGAAGGTGTATTATCTTCTCATGAGTCTAGGTCCACGATATGAGACCTTTACAACCACAATGCTGAAACCTCCAATGCCTACTTATTCAGAGCTTATCTCCTTACTTCAAGACTATAAATAACCTGTTCAATGGCATGAACCTCAACACCTTGATTTTTATAGTCAATGCCAAAGAAACCAATATAGTAATAATAATAATCATCCCTTAGGAAATGATTTTACCTCCAAATGTCTGGGATTTCAACCTACAAAGACACAGAATGGACAACTGATATAGGTACTTCAAACCACATGACAGGTAATTCTAATATTTTATTCAACTTGCCCTCATATCTAGGAACTGATTCAGTTCTAGCTAGTAATGGAGACGCTCTTTCCATTAACGCTATTGGTGACACACTAGTCAAAAAATGGAAAAGAAAATTTGATGTTGAGTGATTTTTGTTAGTTCCATCGTTAGCTCATGTTATATGTTAGTCATCTTACTGACCAGTTTCCCCTCAATTGTGGATTTACTAATGCAAACTTCAATGTTAAGGAGCGAAAGACAAGTTGGATACTGATGACGGGATATCGCAAGTGTGATCTGTACATTTTATCACTTCCTCATGAAATGCACTTCTTAAATAGATTTTTTGACACTACATAGGAGGTATGACATCTTAGGCTTGGACATCCACAAGAATACATATAGTATTTTAAGGTCTAAGCGATTTAATAAGTACATTTTCATACACTTATTGGGCCACAAAATATAACTAATTGTTGATCAAAGCATTTGAATTATGACTTAATTCTATATCATTTCGTTTTGTAGGACTATATTGACGGAATTTAAAAGACAAGATGCGAAAAAGGACCAAAATGAAAGAAAACAAAAGTTTAGGGACAAAAGTGTAAATCGTAAAAAAAAAGTGAGATTAATCAAAAGTTCTGGTACAAATAAAAGGACTATTCTGTGTTAGAGTTGCCAATTAGGCAAATTAAGTAAATTTTCTTTTTCTCAATTGTTGGGCAAATTGTTGTCAAACGACCTCCTCAAGCTATGATGTAACTAGGTTATATTCTCAATCGACATCGACCAAATAACTGAACGGTAAATTGACACCACAATTGAAATGACTCGACCCAATAGCTAATTGAGCCATTTGTAGCAACCTTATTTAATTAGTTCTGCTCATGGCCCATTTTCACTTGCTTGGACGGCCAATGAAATGTAAATCACTTAGTAGCCCATTTATCATGTCTTGGGCCCTTCTGACCCATTACTATGCCCTTATTGCTACTTAACTCTAACGTCCATTCCACTTAGTTATATGGGTCTTCTTCATTGGCCTCTCTGTGCGTGAATATGGCTAACCCTCTTGAGTCCTCTCAGTGTGCTTTCTGTTTATTCACCTCACTGCCTTTGTGGTTACTATCGTTGTGATTTTTTCTTCTTTTTTGGTCTCCTAAGTGGGTAAATTTCGGCAACCGTAAGTGGACAAAGGTTGAAGGAATGTCGATCGAAAAGGAGAAAATAAGCCCGAAAAATCATCTTGGTGATCCATTGTTCCGCACAACATCAATCTAAGTCTTCTAGTTCTGAATTGTTTGGAAAAATCCATTCTGATCTCTAGGGTCCAGGACCAGTTTCATCTATTGGTAATTTTCAATATTATGCTTGTATTGTTGATGATTATTCAAAATGATATTCGTCTATTCCCTTACACCTCAAATCTTTATTGTTTTTGAGCGTTACCTGCATAGGTAATTTGACCAAAAAAAAATTAAAATCTTTTATTCAGATGGAGTAAATGCCATATTGACTATACATTTTAAGAATGAAGGAATAGTTCATCAAATCTCCTGTCCATATACTTCACAACAAACTGGATTAGTTGAACGATAAGATCATGTGACAAGAGAACTTGGGATGAGCATGCTTTTTCAAAGCGATCTTCCTAAACAATTTTGGGTGGAAGCCTTTCATAGTGCAGTTTTTCTGAAGAACAGATTACCATCTTCAGCTATTACAATTGATACTCATTATTATAAAATTTATAAACAACATCCAAATTATTCTTGTTTGCAAGTTTTTGGCTCATGCTATTATCCTTGAATTAAGTCATTTGTATTTGTTTGTTGACACTCTGGGATACCCGACCCCACCACTCCTATCACATGAGGTCGGGTCCCATGTGGGGGTCAGGATGTGGGATCCGACCCCCATGTGAGAGGAGGCGGTGGGCTCGAGTAAACCAAAGTGTGAACAAACAAGTACAAGTAGCATGACCTATTATCCTTACACTTGGGACTCCAAAGCGATTGTGTTTTTTGAGGATATAGTGGCAATTATAAAGGCTATAGATGTTATCATCCACCGAGTCGCAAATTCTTCATTTCTCGTCATGTTTCCTTCTCAAAGAAGTCGTTTCCATACAAATCAAGAGACCAACAAGACTTGATTGCATCTTGATGCAACATTACTGAATTCAATTATTGGGTTGATAAAACTAACGCCACTACTGAACTACCTTTGTCATTGCAAGATTTGATCACACCAACACTTGATGATCAATCTTAGTCATCCATTGTTTCAATAGATGCAGAAATTAACAATCATGTGGCATCACAAACTCCTGTACTTACAGAAAATCTTTCAAATCATGAAGCCAAAACTGTAGAGATTCTTTTGATCATGAAGGAAATGTAACTGCTGTAAATTTCACTAATGAATCCTTAGATTCTTTAGATTGTCAACAAGACGTGTTAAACAAATTGAATAACCATCTTTCTATGCCATTTATTGAGCAAGATCCACTCATCAGAATTAGAACCTTATTCTCGAATATGGACCATCTCATGATACTGAACGATCTATTCCTTGCAATGCATTGCAGTTAAATTTTGGTCTCACCGATCACCACATGGTGACAAGACTCAAAGATGGGATCACTAAACCAAACCCCGAATATGCTCTCCATGTGTCTAGGCATGATATACTATAAGAGCCTCGAAATATAAAACCAACTCTCCACCATCCCAGATGGCATGGTACTATAATTGAAGAAATTGATGTACTACATTACAATCATCTTGCAAACCCGTTCAACGAACTCTAGATATGTATTTTATAGGCTCCAAGTGGGTGTTTAAGCCAAGATTAAAGCATGATGGGAAACTCGAAGTTCTTTAAGCTCGTTTTGTACCTATTGAGCATCACCAAGCAGACGATGTTGACTATTTTCAAAACATTCTCACTAGTCATTTAAGCCAGGCACTCTTCGAGTTTTCATTACCATTGCTCTTGCTTGTAATTGGGCAATTCGATAGTTGGACGCAAAA